GAGCTACGCCTACACTATTTTTAATATAGCTTTTATTTAATTATAGTAACGTTTTACGGAACTTATAATAAATACTTGGGCTATTATTATGGGTTATATAAGTATTTTTTAACGCATATATTATAGTAATAATAGCTATACTATTAATTAGTCTCGGAGAATAATAGACTAAACTCTAGTGGTAATAATACTAGGTTTCGTCGAAGGAAATTCTTTTTAAGAAGCGAAGCGCTGTCTGAGTTCGGAATCACCACCTTTTCAGGTGAGTGCATAATTACTTTCATCTTACACATAGATATGAAGTATTTTATATAAATTACGTGCTATGTGTGCATATTATCTGAATACTTGCTATCTATGTTGGATGAACATTTTATACATGTTTTCAATGATTTAAATTGTATATGTATTTTATATCTATGAAAATGTTGGGGTAAAACATGGGTAGATGTAATAGGTGATGTGTGATAAAATAATGAGAGGACTCGATGTTGTTGTTGTTGATCCAGTCATCTAGCGGAGTATAGATGACGACCACAGACTCTTCTAGACAGTCCAGTGGAACGCTGGCAGGCTCGCAACCTGTAGGTGTTTGTGAACGATGTGTTCATCAGTGTACTGCATCCCCCACATGGTTGCCTTTAGGACATTTATTGCTAAGGAACCCCCTTAGCAGTGGTGTCCATCCCGATGATGATCCTTAGGCTAGGTCCCTTATGATAGGTGTTTAGGGACGTAAAGTGAGGATAACGGGAACGGGTAATCGGGTTATTGTTGATTGATGGAATTAATAAACTTATTTATTGTGGGTTGAACACCCTATGTGCTCAACAGGCTCCTAAGCCTGACCCACTCAGTTTCTTGCATTACAGGTAGTGGCACATGAGCATAGATGTCATGTTTTGGATGAGGGATTACGGATATAGGCATGTAGATACGAAATAATGTAGTAAGGCTTATATTGTATTGTTTATGATTTTGATCTGTATCGAACATGACATCCCAAGTCTTTTAATGAAATACATTTCCTTGGAAATGCTTTTGATAAATCTTTATCATATTTTGTTTTGGGACAAATTCCGCAACACTTTTATTTAAAATGTGACTCTGATTTTCAAACAAAGCATAAACAAAACGGGTCTTTTTGGCCGTGATTTTGGGGATGTCACATTGTGCCATTGTTAAAACCCAATTTAAAAGTGATATACAAATTCTTAGGTCCGATAATGGGGGGGTGGGGGGGGGGGGGAATTTGTTAATACTTCCATGAAACAGTTCTGTCAAGAAAAGGGAATAATTCATCAAACCTCATGTGCTCACACCCCTGAACAAAATGGGGTATCTGAAATAAAAACCGCTTCCTCTTAGAAATAACCCGTGCGCTCATGATTGAATCCTAAGTTCCAAAATCCTTTTGGCTCGAAGCTCTTGCCACAACAACCTATCTTGTGAACCGTCTTCCAACAAGAGCTCTTGACTTAAAAACTCCAATTCAAGCCATGTCTAAATTTCACAAACCTCCATCTACCCTTATCCTTGAACCTTGTGTCTTTGGTTGTTCTGTGTTTGTTCACATACCAAAATCAGAATGTTCCAAACTTGATGCATGTACTGAGAAATGTGTGTTTGTTGGTTACAGAGTCAATCAACAAGGTTATCGATGTTATAGTCCGAACAAACGTCATATGTACACCACGATGAATTGTGACTTTCTTGAAACCGAATATTTCTACAATATCGAACATACTGGTCAAAGGAAAAAAGGATTATGATGATACATTGGGTTGGATAAAATGGATGCCATCATCAGTAGAAATTAATCACGGAACCCAAACCATGTCACAATCCACGAGTCGAGAAGACAGTACCACTAACAATGATCCTCCCAACCTGACGTCAAAGGTAAGTAATTCTCAATCTCAAGAGCATGTTGATTCTCCCATTATTTCTGAGTCATCTACTAACTGTGAAACTCATGAGCATGTTGAAACTCCTGATTTGCCTAACCATACGACAGAACACGAGTCATCACAGGTTGAACAAGCTAGATATGTTCTACCCCTAAGATCCAACAGAGGAGTTCCTCCAAAAAGATACTCTCCCGAGAAGGAAGCTCGAAGTTCTCAATACCCGATGGCAAACGTAACAACCGGAAATTTATCACAAGAACCCCAGGCTTTTGCCACATCTTTATGCTATGAAGAAATTCCAACTACAGTTGAACAAGCTCTTGAGTCTAAGGACTGGAGAAACGCTATGAAAATTGAAATGGATGCACTGAATAAAAATAACACATGGGAAAAATGTACCCTTCCTCCTGGAAAAAAATCAGTAGGATGTCGTTGGGTCTTCACTATAAAGTATAAGCCGGATGGAACCATTGAAAGATAGAAAGCCCGACTTGTAGTAAAGGGATACACTCAAACTTACGGAATTGACTATTCCGAGACATTTTCTCCCGTGGCCAAAATCGACACAATCAGGGTCCTATTCTCTATAGCTGCAAAGAAAGGTTGGCCTCTCCTTGAATTTGATGTAAAAAATGCCTTTTTACATGGAGAACTTAAAGAAGAAGTCTATATGGAAGCCCCTCCTGGATTCACGGGAGACTCTAAAGAAGTATGTCGCTTGAAGAAATCCTTATATGGATTAAAACAGTCTCCCCGTGCCTGGTTTGGCAGGTTTACTTTAGCCATGAGAAAATATGGCTTCAAACAGAGTAACTCAGATCATACTCTGTTCCTTAAACGGAGGAATGGACTTGTAACATGTTTAATTATTTATGTCGATGATATGATAATCACAGGTAATGATGAGGAAGAGATGAAAAGGTTAAAGATAAATCTATTTAAAGAATTCGAAATGAAGGATCTGGGAAGATTTAAATATTTCCTTAGAATCGAAGTCCTGAGGTCTAGGTAGGGGATTTTTATCTGCCAAAAGAAATACGTCCTTGACCTGCTGGCAGAAACAGGGATGATAGATTGCAAACCTGTGGATACTCCTATGATGGTGAACCAAAAGCTCTATATGGAGGAAAAGGCTAAGTTGGCCGACAAGGGAAGATATCAACGGATAGTAGGTAAACTAATCTATCTCTCACATACCTGGCCTGACATTGCTCACGCAATGGGAGTGGTGAGTCAATTTATGCATCAACCTCAAGTTACCCATATGGAAGTCGTGTGGAGAATTATCATATATCTCAAAGGGACACCTGGTCATGGAGTTCTGTTCAAGAAAAATGGGCATCTAGAAACCCAAATATATACCGATGGGGACTGGGCAGGGGATAAAGGAAATCGGAGATCAACATCTGGTTACTTTACCCTTGTTGGTGGGAATCTTGTTACTTGGAGGAGCAAGAAACAAAAGGTGGTGGCTCTTTCAAGTGCTGAAGCAGAATTTCGAGGAATAGCACGCGGTCTAGCAGAGATACTTTCGATACGGAAACTCTTGACAGAAATCGGGTACCCTCCAACCTAATCCAGCAAAAGTATGTGCGATAACGAAGCAGCTATTCAAATTTAAGAGAATCCAGTCCAACATGATCGCACAAAACATGTTGAAGTAGACCGACACTTCATCAAAGGAAAACTTGAAAAAGGGATAATTGAACTTCCGTTTGTCTGCTCAGAAGACCAACTCGCAGATATATTAACAAAGGCGGTCAATGGAAAATTTTTTAATCATTGTCTTGGCAAGCTGAGTATGGAAAATCCCACTACTCAACTTGAGGGGGAATGTTAAAATATTTGATTAAAATACTCCATGATTTCCCAAAATAGACCATTGACCTTTCAATCCTGACTTCTGGTCCTAGCTAATTGCCAGCCATTCTTTTCAATGCAATTTATTGTATTTTTCTTATTTAGTTTTTTTGTATAGACTATATATTCAGTACGTGAGCTTGCTCATACATATAAGAAATATAAAGTGATTCTACTTTCTCTTCCATTCCTCTCATCATCATGGTCAACATATATATATATATATATATATATATATATATATATATATATATATATATATATATATATATATATTGTTTTTTTATTATAGTAACATAATTTCAATAATTAAATAATAATTCATAAACATTAATTTTTACGTCAATACATAAACACAAACGGATTTTAATTTATCACAAATGTCTAAATAGATTTCTAAAAGCCATAAGATATTTCTAAAATTAAAATATAAACACAAAAGTATTGTAATTTACAAACATTAATTTTTTGGTTAACAACCTTAATGATTAATGAACTTTGGTTTTTATTCATATTTAAAAAACTATACAAATAATAAACTTATTTTGGATGTTCATTATAAGGTTAAATCATCGGTAATACCCGGTAATATTACCATATTTTAATAGGTTAAATAAATTTACTGACCTAATATGTACAAAAAAATAAAATTATATAAATGTACATAAAAACCAAAGTTTGTTACTCTCTTAACTCATTAACCCTATACAAGATAAACAAATAAAAAAAAAAAAACTTGGTTATTTTCATAAACAAATAAAAAAAGTTAACTGATTTCCCAATAAATAATCTACAATCATTAGTTCATCTTGATTTTCTTATTAATAATCCCAAAATCTATTTCAAGACAAAAACCTTGTACCTCCAAACTATACGATTCATACTCCCACTGGACAAGGAAGCGACTGGCCTCCTTTCTAAACTGACACCTTCATGCATGAGTTCGTTCATGAACAGTCTGCATCTGAATCATCACCCCCTCTATCCCTCAAAGAAACCAATAGAAACCACACACCTTTAACGTAGCAGTTGCCGGTAATTAATGTCAGGTGGGGTATCCTGCAATCATTTCAGGAAACTAAAAAACACCTATGATTAATTTTCCGTCGTACATGCATGTTTTTAGCATCATACACAGTAACGCCCACGTACTGTGTGCAAAACAAACGATACATTTGATATCTACTTAAAGAAACCACATAGGATGTGTATGATTTAAAAGCTATAGAAATGAGGCACAATAAAGAAAGAGAAAAGGCTGTACAAGTTGAAGGAGAGAGACGAATGATCCGGCAGATGAAGGTCAGCACCACAAGTCGCACGAAAGAGAGACGCATTCGACTATCGCCTAACACTGCAATTCAATTTTACGATGTGCAAGATAGGCTAGGGTATGATCGAGCTACCAATGCAATTGATTGGCTCATGAAGGAAGCCAAAGTTGCCATTGATGCACTCGGTGATGCAAATCAAGATGATAATCAGGGGTACCAAATACCAGCTATAACCACCATTTTCAGCCCTTCAGAGACATTTCATCCAACAACCGATGATCAGATTCAGCAGAACACGAATCATGAACAGACAAACAGTTTAGATCACAACCTGTCTGCGCTCATGAATCCAATCAACAGATGCGCGCAAGAAATGGACCTCTTTTCAACCTCAAAAGCCTCAGTGGATTTCACATGGAGTCCAAATTACAACAGAGGAGAAGGTTATGGTTTTGTTAATCATGAACCCATTCAATCCAGTTTCGCTTCTCCAATTGCTCATACAGGGTTCTATGGATGTTATTTTCAGCAAGAAATTCAAGTTCAAGAGGATGAAAAGGATAATCTTCGGAGTTGACTAGTTGTACTCGGGCCTTACCTCCCCTCTAATACTTCGGTTTTGCTTTATCCAGAATAGCGCAGATCAAATCTTGAAACCACATGGTACCGATGTTTTCAAATTCTACTTCTATCAATTCGGTAGTTCTTTTTATGTGATCGTTACGACAAATTCAAAGTCAAATATTTATGGGATTTAGTCATTTCAAGGTAAACACTAAAATAGTTATCGAATGTAGAAGTATAAGAACTTTTACAGAAATGTATTTGTTGTAATACGGAGTATTATTTATACGCAAGAATGTTTTTTTTTTTTTTTGGATTTTGATCCCCAAAGTTTTAAAATCCAAAATATATTGCGCATAATCCGTTATACTCACCACTAACCATTATAGTGGTGATATCACGTCATCACCACATTCTCTACCACTAAACATATCACTTCATCTTATTTTTTAAATTAAATTTAAATAAAAAATAAATAAAAAACATATTTTTTTAAAATACTAATTTTCATTAATTTAAAATACCAAATTACATTAATTAAAATACAAAAAATAATAAAAAAACATTAAAAATAAAAATACAACTTCAAACTACATTACTTAATTAACCTAAAATAAAAAAACATTACATTAACTTCAATAACATAAATAATAAAAAAAACCCTAATCTTCGTTCATGTTGAGTTGGTACAAATGATCCGCGATATTTTCTCGAAGATTAAAACATGTTTCGTTGTTATTAATTTCAACAACTAGTGATAAAAATTCATTCGTTCCGGGTACGAACTCTTCAAGCGGGATGACGGCATCGTCAAGATCGTACGTGTAAATCGTTTGACATTGTTCTTCAATGATCATATTATGCATTATAATACATGCTAGGATGATTCGTTTAATTCTATCTTTATTTCAAAGTCGTGTAGCATATTTCACTACATGTCACATCTTCTTGAGAACTCCAAATGCCCTCTTAATATCATTCCTCGCTGATTCCTATCTCTTTGTAACTTTGCCTTTTCACTTCGACGAACCGAATATGCCTTCATAAGTGTAGAGTAATCTCGGTATATCCCATCACAAAGGTGGTAACCGTATTTGTACGAATGTTCGTTCCCCGTGAACGTCATATTAGGGGCTTTGTTGGTCCAAAGATCGTTAAAAAGTGGAGACTGGCCAAGAACGTTAATATCATTGTTAGATCCCGCGACTCCAAAAAAAGAATGTCATATCCATAAATCCTAAGATGCAAAAACTTCTAGGATTATTCTTGGTTCACATATATCTCCTCAAGTGAATCGACTACGCCATGCATTTGGACATTTTTCCTAAGCCACATGCATATAATCTAAACTGCCAAGCATACCCGGAAATCCATGCATGTCTTCATGAGCTGAATATAAACTCTCAATATCACGTGGAGTTGATTTACACAAATATTCTTGATGAAAAACCTCATATACACATGCACAAAACCAATCTATACAATAAGTTGCGGTCCTCTTTGATATTTTGAAGTATTCGTCAGATGCATCAAATGTTATACCGTATCCCAAATACCTAAGCGCAGTCTTACACATTTGTATACTACTAAAACCCATTCTTCCTTTAGCATCGGATTTTTGTTTGAAAAAAATCATAACGGACTTCTAAAACATTACTAACACGTAAAAATCTTGCATTTTTTGACGAAAACGACGTTTGAATGCGTCATCTTTATAAAGACAATTATCGGCGAATTAATCACGTACCAATAAGTCGTGTGCGGCTTGACGACCGCCCGTGTACGAACAAAATTAAAACTTTCTTCATTGTGAATGTGTTGCACAACATTGAAGGTCAAAATGAATTCCTCATCATCGTCTGAGTCAAATTTTTTTAAAATTTCCATATCTGTCATGTGTTTCCTTGGTTTAGAATGAGTGTAAAATGTGATGAAATGTGAAGATTTTATTAGATTTATGTAGGTATTAAGTGAAAAAAAATTAAAACTTAAGAAATTGATCGTTGAACGGTCAAAAGAAAGGAATGCATAAAATGACTGTTAAACGGTCAAAAGTAAAAAAGAAAAGTAAAAAATAAAATAAAAATCTTAAAAAATTGACCGTTGGATTCGGAGGGATGCATAAAATGAGAGTTGTTCAGAAAAAGTGGTTGAGTGTTTATGAAGATTGTTATTATTTAGGATTAGGGGGTCCTTAGGAGAAATTAGACACAAATGCATGCCTTGCAGTATTGGTATAATGTTTAGTGTGCTAAAATTATGTTTTTCTTAGGGGCACGCAAAAGTCAAGTTTGGGTATTTTGATGTGTGTTTATTTAGTTATATATTTTATACATGATCTTTATATTTTATGCCACATTTTGTGTTAATTCTAGAAAAAAAGGTACTTTTTATTTTGAAATTTGTTTTGTAGCATCGAAGACATGCTAGGGACAAAAATGAAGCATACGAGAAGCTGGAAGAAGTAAAATGGGAAATAAAGCAAAAAGAAGGATGTTGCTAAACACAATTTGGACGACTTTAGTGTTCTGAAACACATAATGTTGATTAGAAGCTTCGTGATCCTTGAAGCTGACTTGGAGAATATGGGATATATATGACAAACACGTCATGTTAGGTTCTAAAACACGTCGTATAGCACCGCTTTTCAGAACCTATATATTTGGATCGTTTCTATGTGAAACCATAACGAATGCTTGAAGTTTTTATTGACTCTTGGAGGCCACAGACATCCCTAGGAGTTGTGGATTTCAGATTTTGACAAGAGGCTTTGAATAGAAGAGATGTAAGGAAAAAATCATTAGTAACTTACGTAATTCTCTTGTTTACATTATGTTTACATTGATGAATTTCGTTTTTATGCTTGTTTCTGCTAAAGTCAAGGGATAAACACCCTACTTTCGTTTAGAGTAGATGATCTTATGATTATGGTTTGATTTAGTGGCTTTGGATTATATTGATTTGATTATTTATCAAGTTAAGCTTATTTAAAGAACCTTATGTGTTAATGATAATTATTTTCTATTGATTAATGAGTCATTGAGATTGCATGAACATCTTTCTTGATTTCTAACCTCTTATGATTTTTTGTGAAAACAAGATTATAAGCCTAGTGTTCTGAACATAAACTAGGGTTAACTAGAAAATAAGTAAGTTAATATGTGAGCTATATATGATGAACAACCATATATAGCTAACAAATAAGAGCAATCTAAATTACAAGAGCTAAAGTTAAAAGATGAAGAATTTAATCCAGAACAAGATTTGGTGGACCTGTAAAGGTTGCTAGCAGAGGAGTCAAATGAAGAACAAGAACAAGCTGAATTGCAGTTAGGTCGGCAGGCCTAAGGTAACAAATGTCGTATCATTATGATGCTTGAAGAACGATTGCCTCAGGCATATCTGTCATATAGTATGGTTATAAGAGCTCACATGGAGAAAACAATGATTATTTTACATTGTAATATACTTCTTATAAAATAGTAAAACAAGGTATTTACATCATATCTATTTTACAAGCCAAATAGATCTGCAGTTAGTTTTACTTATGAATAAAAGTACCTATTATGAAATTAATTATGGCAATTATACCTCTACTTTTTTTTGGTTTTGGAATGTTTACAACCACAAATCGGTATTATGGAAAATATAAGATTTTTAGGGATCAATATCATTATTTTACAGGTGAAAAGTTTATAGTTCGACTTTCTGAAAACAAACACAACTGCTTATCGAAATCAATGTTTTACAGTAGAACAAATATAACTAAGAATATGGTTATAGAGGATTTAACTCTTATTTACGAATTGTATGTTATCAAATAGTTTTGTTTGATTATTAACTATACATTCGGGTTTCAGGGAAAATATACTTTCAAAGGTTTTATTTAGATAATAAAACTATATTACATTATTTGTAAGTACTAAATTTCTAGATCTACACATGAATTACACGAGAAGTAAAACATTATATAGTTACTATATGGTACAAAAAGAAGTTCAGAAAACATATAACGAGTATCCTTTTTATTAAAGTCTATGATCACTTAATGTATACATTACGATTCTATATAATGAAGATCCGATAAACAGTGGAATGTGTGATTTCCGCCTTCCTTCCTGTTCCTTGTCTGGATGGGTCATACTATAGACATGAATCATAATATCAAATCATAGGTTATAAACATAAGGAATTTATACTTTTTAGTCTCAAAGTACTAAGATTATTTTTACTAAGAAAATATTGGATTTTATGGAAGAACACATTAACGTTGTTATTAACAATGAATACATCTTTTCCACCAACATACTTATGAACTCACCAACTTAAATGTTGATACTCTCTTTTCAAACCACTTGTATTCTCAAGAAAGTTAGTAGAAGGTACCCTCTCGGGCGTTATGAAGACAAAGCTAAGTAGCATTACACCTTATCTTTTGCTATAGTTTTAATGTAAATAAGTCAGTGTTTTGAAAATGATGTAAACTTTATATTATTAATACAATGGTTGTTATTGCTTTGATTACTATTTTACTATTGTTGTGATACTGTACATGATGTTTTTCGCCCCCGAACGTTTCTGCCGTTCCGGTTTCGGGGTGTGACACCAAAGGTCTTTACTCATGCATGGAGTCATAAAAGTCATCAAATAAACATTTTTATGCAAGCAGTAGGGGTGTGGGAGTGCCTGTCCCGTATAGATCTATACACACGATGCCCACTCTCCCTCCATGAGACTCTAGTTATAATGTGATACAATAATGTATTGTTGTATCATGAAGTAATATTTCACATTCTAGTTATCGTATCTTAGTGTTTGTATAGTAAGTTATAGTGTATTAATGTTCTCTCTGTACTATTGTATAGTATGTTCTCTTGTATAATATAGTGTCTTTTCCCTTAGATTCTCATCATAGTATGTTCTTTATGTTTCTCGTAATAGTAAGTTTGTGCTGACTCATAAATGAACTGAATCTGGTATGTTTCATTGTA